AGAAAAAGAACCATCTACTGACTGGCACAAAGGAGAAAAGGATCGCTGGGGTGGCTATTGTCATCACGGTGATATACTCTTTCCAACTTGGCATCGTCCATATGTTTTATTGCTCGAAAGGCTTATATACGAAGCGGCCAAGGAGATTATAAGTGATGATAAAAAAAAGTAAAAAATTCATATTTCCTTAATTTTTATAAATTACTTTTATTTATTTTTTATTTATTTTGCTTTTACATTAACAAGTTACCCCCCTGGAGAAGAAACTGAAAAATATAAACATGAAGTTGAGAAAATTCGATTTCCATACTGGGATTGGGCCAGTCCATCAACTCTTACACAAGGCATACCTTCGGTCATATTTGACGAGTACGTTTATGTTGACAACCCAAACAACTCGAACGTCAGAATCAGAAATCCTCTTCGTGCCTTTACTTTACCACAAGACCTTGGAAGTTTAGTACTTGTTGGTGATGTTTCTAATCCAACGCAAAGACCTTACAGTCCAGATGCTATTACAACACCCTATACACCAAAAGGATATGCCACAGTCAGACATCCAGACAGCAATTACACGTCCAATGTAGATGCCACTAACCTCAATGTCGTCACATTTTGTAGTTCTGTATTTCGTCCAGTCATTTATCAAGTTCTTTTGGTTGATAAATGGCGCCAATTCAGCAATCATGGGGACAAGGAGGATCATCCTTCCGACGAGAATTATGGTCATTTTGCATCACTTGAAGTTGTCCATGATGCAGTTCATGATGCAGTTGGTGGGATTGGTGGCCATATGACATATCCTGACATCGGTGGTTTCGACCCTATTTTCTTCCTTCATCATGCTAACGTGGATAGACTTTTAGCTATTTGGCAGGCATGTCACCCTAATGATTGGATCATTAAAAATGATTATACTGAGGGCAGCTTTACTAATCTACCTAATCGACCTATTGATGAAGATACTGAACTTACGCCATTCCGTAAAACAGAGAATAAGTGTTGGACCTCAAAGGAAGTAAGGTGTGTATTTAATTAATACATTAAGTTTTTTTTGCAGTTTAATTTGACTATTTTTTGCAAATAATAGAAAAATTACGGATCTTGGATACAACTATCCTGACCTTATGAAACCCATAGACTCGCACCAACTTTTGCTTGATATGTTAGATTATTATCATCCGAACCAATATCTGTAGGTATTGCTTTTCCGTATATTCTTATTTAAATTAATCATATACCAATTAAATTATCTGTATTCAAAAATCCAACAGACAATATCATTGGAAGCTCACCTTGACCGTTCTGAAAAATAAAGTCGGCTCACCATTCCAAATTCGAGTCTTTCTTGATTTGTCAACCGCAAACGCTTCGACTCCTATCACCAGCCCAAATTTTGCCGGCCTCATACCAATCTTTGCTCGTGGTAGTGAAACACAATGTGCTAACTGTATCTCCAATTCAAAAGCGGTGGTCAATGGTTCTATTGACCTTACCACATGCATGCAGAAACTTTTAATGGATCTAAATCCAGAACCTGATGAAGGCAATCTTACGCATAGTTTGGAGCCAAAACAAATCACACTTGTGGCCGTTTTGAAGGATGGAAGCGGAAAAAGTCTTGAAGATGTTGGTTTAATTTCCGCAAAGTATTGGGTATTTAATGAAGGTCCCAAATATGATAGAAATCCAGAAGATTGGATGAAAACGAGAAAGCTCATGGGTGAGGTTTATCCTTCTCCAAAAACTACTTAGAGGAGAACTACTTTCAGCATTTTTTATTTTGTCAAAGTTTAATATTTAAACAATATTTTGTTAAAAAATAACAATTAGTCATTTAAATTGTATTATATTTTACAACAAATAAATAATTGTAAAATATGTTGTGTGATTTGATGTGCTGAAGCTTGTTCTTCATATTTATTGGTCTTTGAGAAATACAACGAAAATACCCACACCAAATGAGTTTTTAGTTTCAACTCTTAATACACATTCCCTCTAAAGATCTTTTACAACAACTGATAACAGTCGAAAGCGGATTAACTTTTTATCTATTTTGTCTGCGAAAACAATCTCACTCGCAGCAGAAACTTCGAAGGACCCATGCTACAAATGTGGGGACGTCTAAAATGAAAAATTACATCGAACCCTTTGGTGATGCTACTTAGTTATACCAATGTGGGTAATATAACATTAAACCTGGGCCCTTACTCAATATTTCGGATTTAATTTTAGTTATAATGTAACTAACCGAGTGATGCATACAATTAATTTATTTAATTTTATGTAACAAAAAAAACCCCCGGAAATTTTTTGTGCAATTTATAAAAAAAGATGTTTTTTGTTCTTTCTAGCATCCAATTGTCACATATCACAAAGATTAAGACGCCGTTTTGATTCAAGTCGAATTTTTCAAAGTCAATTATTTTAAACTCAAAATTTATTCATGAAGGCTTCAACTTAAAAATGTTCTGTTAATTGTGTGATGATTATTCAACAATGTTCATGTATTGAAACATAAAAATTTTTTGGTGAGTTTGTTAAACGAGACATAAAGAGAGTAGAAATGAATTTGCTGATTTTCATAATTGATTTTTTAACTATCAAATGGAACAAAATCAACTTCATTGCCTGATATCAAAGGCAATTAAAAATAAGTTTTATATTAATAGAACCTTCTGAATTTTCAGCTTTCTTTTGATATATTTTTTATATATTTTCATCAAACAAATAAAAGATTTCTGGTTTTTTTTTTTTGCACTATTACTATATTTGTATTTGTAACGGGGGTTCATTGTTAGTAATATTAAACTAAAATCTAATTTGCCGGCAATATCTTTCCAGACATGCTTTCAAATGGAATTCCAATGATTTTTTGGATGTGTCGCTCAAAGATGTTCAATTGGATTAAAGTCATATGATTGTGGACAATATTTTTCCTTTGAAAGTAATAATTTCGATTTATTAAATTCATTTTGTGATTGATTAAAGATAACAATAGATAGGTTCTCTCCCAAGATTCGAATCGAATCGAATCCAGCCTTTTTGAATTCGAATTATGAATTGATTCGATCCAAAGCTATCGAGACTCTATTAGGTTCGTTCGGGCCTTAATTAATAAACATTATTATTTAGTGGAAAAATTTATATTACTATATATGGGACCTATTTACTGGTATAAGTCCAAAATCGTGTTAGGTATATATTTGGACACACACACACGTTTTTGATATTAATATAAAAAGTTGCACAAATTATTTATTTTTTATTTTTTTTTATTTTTTTTTTGAAAAAAAACAAAAAAACAAAATGAACATTTTACCATTAGAAATTTTAAGTGAAATATTCAAATATTTTCAAGATGATCATGAAACGTTATTTTCTTGCATTCTGGTTAATAAACTATGGCATAGTATCAGTATTCCAACTTTATGGGAAAATGTATTATACAATAGTGAAGGCAGTAGTATTAAAATATTGATTAATTGTTTATTGGTAGAAGATAGGGATTTTTTAACAAAACATAATATTAAACTTGATTTTCAATTATTGAAGAGACCGCCATTACACAATTATGCCAGATATATCACTAGATTAGATCCTTATTTCTTTAGTTCGTTGCATATTAGATTTCAGTATTTGGAAGGAAGATTAATAAATTTTATTTTAGATCATTCGATAGCCATCAGGGAACTCCAGATTGCTGATTTAGACCACAAACAGTTGATAGATCATCACAGATTTGGTTATTGCTTTCAGAATCTTCATAAATTGTATAGTAATTATAAGAGTGAACTTTTTGATAAGCTGACAGCCACGTGTAAAGACATTCAAACGTTAAGAATAGATTATAATGATAATATTGATAGAGGTAATGATAGTCTAGGTAGACTAATTAAAGCACAAACTCAAATTAAACAAATGGTCATATGCTTACATAATGATCAAAAATTTTCAAATAATTTCAAAAAAGCAATATTGTCACATTCGCAATCGATAACTAGTTACACTTGTATTGGAAGGAATAATCTGAATTCTGTAGTAATATCGACATTCACAAATTTAAAATCACTGTCATTAAGTAGAGATTATGGAAACATAAAATATTTAAAATCTGCCTTTTTTCCAAAGATTGAGGATGTATATCTAAACAAATCCTCCCAACCATTTATATTGGACTTGTCGGATTTTATCAAGGTCAATGGAAATAATCTTAAAAAATTGAAAATTAGTGGTGAACCAACTGATAAAGAATATTTGGGAACATTGTTTAAATCAATCGGTCAAAATTGTCAAAGTCTAGAAGAATTGTATATTTTTTATAGGAATGAAGTAGAACAACAGCTAATTGATATATTTAATAATTGCATTAAATTGAATTCCATTTCATTAAATCGGTTTTTTCACAGGGAAGGTATATTTGATGGTGATAAGGTAGTGGCAATTCTAAACGAATCTTTGCCAAAAAATTTAAAAACTTTGATTTTTGACAATGATGTTACTTTATCTGACAACTCACTTGGAATTTTGATGAAGAATTGGAAAGGGCCTATACCTTTTACGATGAAATTATTAAGAGATTATGCTGGATCTTATATCGTAGAAGATAAATTACAAGATATATTAAAAAAGTATCAAGATCTGGGATTTTTAAATTAAATTTTAAAATAAAAATAAAAATAAATTGATTATTGGGAATAAGATCTGCATTTAAAGGAACTTACTATTGATCTTGAATCTTTAAAGAAAAGTCATACTGTTTTTTCTAATCTTTCTTTACATTATTATTATTATTATTGATTTTAATTGGCTGAAAATAAATTGAAACACACATCTTTTTTTATATATATTGAAGAAAAAATTAGTAAGGTGGTGTTAAAAAACTTCGAACATCATTTACAAATATATTTGAATGCATATTAATATTATCTTTTTTTTTTTTATTATTACCTAACAATCGATAAATTTTCTTTCTTTTCAAAAATATTAAATTAAAAAAAATGGCAACTTCTTTACGCTTTGTTCGAAACCTTTCTACGCGTGCTTTTAAACCTAATAATTTTAAAAAACTATCAATTGCTAATACTAATGCTAGTAATGCTAGTAACAGTAACGGCATTTTTATAGCAAATAATAATGGTATGTTATTTCCAAATACTACAACCACTACTACTAATTCAATCTTTATTCGTAACCAATATGCAATTATCGCACGTAAAAGTTCAACGACGACAAATAATGAGAGTAATAAAGCTGGTGGCAGCGGTGGTAGCAGTGGTGGTAATTCTGCATTATGGTTAGGTGCAGGCTTAGTAGCTGTAGGCGTAGGATATTTTGCATATAATTCTGAGACTATACTTGCCTCATTACAAAATCTCAATCCTGCTACACCATCACCAAAAACTGCAACAACACCAGATTATCAAAAAATTTATTATGAAATTGCCGATATACTTGAGGATGATAATCATGACGATGGTAATTTTGGTCCGCTATTTATACGTTTGGCATGGCATGCAGCTGGTACATATGACAAGGAAACTAACACTGGTGGTAGTAATGGAGCAACCATGAGATTTAGCCCTGAATCGCATCATGGCGCTAATCTTGGTTTGCAACTTGCAAGAGATAAATTGGAAGAAGTTAAAAAAAAGAATCCTGAAATTTCTTATTCTGATTTATGGAGTTTAGCTGCTGTTGTTGCAATTCAAGAAATGGTATATATAGTTTGATTGTTGTGTTTTGGATGCTAATCTCCTTTTATGAAAATTGTTAATTATTAATTGTTAAATAAATGTTATAGGGTGGTCCTATAGTTCCATGGATACCTGGCCGGTGAATTATTATTATTTTTAAAAAAATTATTACTTTGGTTTTTTTTTATCAAAATAAAAAATAAAATTATAAAATTATATATATATATATATATATATATATATATATATATAGTCTAGATGCCACAGCTGACAAATGTACACCAGATGGTAGACTTCCAGATGCAACCAAAGATACCGACCATCTTCGTGATATTTTTTATCGTATGGGATTTGATGATCGGTAAGATTAAAACTCATGTTAAATTAAATATATATATATATATAAATATATATAATTTAAATGCCTTTACTCCTGCTCATCCTCTCGCCCTCATCTTCCAATTATTATTAATAGTGAAATTGTAGCATTATCAGGAGCACATGCATTAGGTCGTTGCCATCCTGACAGAAGTGGATTTGATGGGCCATGGACTTTTTCACCTACAACAGTGACAAATGGTTTTTACAAAGAACTTTTAGAAAAAAAATGGGTTGAAAAAAAATGGAAAGGTCCAAAACAATATATTGATAAAGAAACTGGTAAATAGTTAATTTGAGGATTGTTTCTTTATTGGAAAGAGATTGAAAAATAAACTATATAATTGTTTGTTTGATTTTTAGGTAACCTTATGATGCTTCCTACTGACATAGCTTTGACCAAAGTAAAACATATATAATTATTTTTTTTATTTTTTTTTCAGCTTTCTTTTAATTAAAGAATTTCTTTATTAATTACTAGGATAAAAAAATGAGGCCTTGGGTAGAGAAATACGCAAAAGATGAAGAGTTATGGTTTAAAGATTTTAGTGAAGTGTTTCATAAATTAGAAGAACTTGGAATACCAAGAACTGGTCAAGAAACAATTTATCGATTTAAACGAACTGGTGAATAAATAGTAACGATGATGTCATGTGTCATGTGATGTTTATTACATATTATATTTATATTATTTATGAAAAAAGAAAATAATCAGAGAAAATAAAAAACAAAATAAACAAAAATTACAAAATTAAAAAAATTTTTTTTTTCAATTAAATATTTGTCTAATCTACTAAACTCTAACAAAATTTTTTTATAATTTTAATTTATATTTTTTCCAATTATTTTATTTTTCTTTGCCAAAATTTCTTCCAATGTTATTAAACAAGATATCCAAAAAAATTTAAAGTGGAACTTCTTGTAAAGAAGAATTATCATGTTGTTGTTTAGGTAAATTCAAAAAACTATCAACATTTTCATCTTCACCACTAATATTAATATTGGTGGTGGTGATGGTGGTGGTGGTGATAGTGTTGTGGTCAAGATTATTTTCTTTGATGATAATAATATTATTATCTGATGATGTTGATGTTGATGTTGAGGTTGAGGTTGAGGTTGAGGTTGAGGTGTTGGTGGTGGGAGGTTCATGTTGTAATTCTTGTAATGAAAAACTAATATCATGATGACCTTTAAAAGATCCTGATATTTCATCTTCTTCGTTATTATTATTACTATTATTACTATTATTGTTGGTATTACTATTATTACTACTATTATTAAAATTTATATCAAGAATATTATCATTATTGATATTAGTATTACTACTATTAGTATCACTTTCATTATCAAGACCACCTTTATTTTCATAGATATGTTTATTATTAAGGTCAATTTCTTGAATTGTTGAACTATTACTATAATGACTAGCAGTATTTGGTAAATTTAATTCATTATTTCCTCTATTATTTCTACTAGTTTCTTCACTACTACCATTATTATTTTCTTCGTCGCCGTCACAAATATTACTGTGACAATTGACGTTATTTTTATTATTTTTATCACAACAATTATTATAAAAAAATATCCAACTAATTTTATAATTTTTTTTATAATATTGGTATAAAATTTCTGTTTTTAATTCCCATGAAAATAAACTTGTTATAAAAAATAATCCGAAATTAAACCAAGTGAATATTATACTTGTAACCCATAAATTACATAAGGTTTTTATATTTGGAGCGAACCTAATTGATTTAGCTTGACAATGTAGCCATTCTGATCCCACATATTCTGGATCAAGTACCACTAGGCCTATTAATAAAAAATCAGAAATTTTATATCATGTGAAATTTTTAGAAATATATTTTTGGGAGGAAATAATAAAGTTTTTACTTACTGGTTGCTAGCCACAAAAAAGTATAAAGACTAAATAAAATAAAATAAATCATTAAATAGGCAATTTCAACACGTGATAAATATATATATATATATTTATAATATTTACTCACAATTCTACCAAAACACTTGATCCATTTTTCCAAATTCTTGCAAACATTACAAAATATATAGCTAATTTTTGAAATAAATATAAACATTATTGATTTATTTATTTTTCCTGAATGATAATTTATTAAAAAAATTTAATGAATTGGTTTTACTTATTACCACTTGTCAATATTGTTAAACTGCACATGAATAAAAGCCAAATTTTAATTTGTCCATTAGTACTAAAAATTAATTTTTTGATAAATAAATATGTTAGTTGGTGGTCGAAAAAAAAAAAAAATCAAAAAATCCATGGATTGGAATTTTCACACACGTTAATGATTTCTCGAAATTCGCTATTATAAGATATCCGAAATTCAAATGACCCGAAAAATATCTAATTACTTACTCTGTATCATTATTTGCTTTATCAAACCAATCGTCAGGTTGACCCGGAAAATTATTTTTATAATGAAAAAGTTGTGCCAACTCTTTATGTATATATAAATATATATATTCATGTAAAAATCATGTTCGTTAATTAAAGTTGATCAAATTTTTTATAATTTTTATTAATAATAGTAATAAAATTAAAAATATTATATTTACCGAGTATTAAAATAACAATCGAAAATAACAATTGCAAAACCTTTAAAAAAATTAAAAATCGCGGATGCCTTCTAAATACAATCATTTTTATATTTTTATCGTTAAAAAATGATTACGTCTTTTTTTTTTCAATTATAAATAAAGGACAGAGCAAAAAAAATCCCGTAAAAAATTTAAAAATAAATTTTTTATATATATAATTAACTGACGAAGGAAAATGGGATTTTGAGAAAAAAAGAAAAAAAAACCTTTTTTTTTAATTTATACCTTATTATACATGTAAGATATAGATTAATGTTCGTTTATTATTTATACACACAAATATAAAAGCATGAAATTAATTTTTGTGTTTCTATAAAAAGAAATCGAATTATATTGGTTGGATAAATAAAACTAAATGCATTGTTAAACAATTTCCTTTATAAAGTTAAAATAAAACTTACTATCTATCAATCATCACATAAAAACTTGGGTGTGCACATCTTTTCAATAAATTAAATGATCGAAATTTACCTGTCAAGATTTTCGTTAATAAATTGCACACGCACACATCAACTTACATTATTCTCTTTTTTTTTTTTTTTTGTTTGTACAAAATTCATCAAATATAGTTTCTTTAAAAAAAATTTTATTATTTGATAGCATATTAATGATATTCAATTGGAAAATTTGAAATTTTTTTTTGCAATATGACAGGAGAAAGACTGTTGTACATGCCGTAATATGTCACTGGCGGATAAATGTCACTCCAGAAAATAAATTAGGGTTTTTAAAGAAAAGTTATCTAAACATTTTCGCGTGGTATTTGTAGCAAAATAAAAAAAACTAAATTATTAACTAACACTAATATATACTAATACTCAATGATACTGCTGTTATTATCTTATAATTTTTGTTATAACGAGCTGGAAGAGAAGAAGTTGAAATGGCGGTAATTTTGGTAGGTTTAGGAGAATTCCGAAATACAATAGAAATCACAATGTAAATCTTTACCAAAGTAATCAAATTTAGAAATTGAGATAGTGCAAGATGAGATGATAACAATACATGCAATTCAAAATTTTATATTTTGCAAAATAAAAGTTTATAAGGTTTATAGTTATGATTAGAAGCATTGCTTACTTGACACAAGCACTAAAAAAAAGTTTGCTTATTATTAATTTTTATTATTTTTATTTATTAGAATTAATTCGTAATCCGTGAAACAACTGACAAAAATTTGCCGATCATTAATATGTTTTTGTGGTGCAGAACTTCAAAATACTATATAAAACAAAAAAAAATTATATCATTTTAAAATATTTAACCGATAAGTTTTATTGTTCATGATTCAAGCTTCAAAACTTATCGGCTGGTTTTTTCTTAGACTGAAAATTGGCAGAGCCTTGGCATTTTGAAAATTCCGAATTTTGTTATACATTTAAGAAATTGAGACAAAGTAAATTTCGTGTACAACTTTTTTTTCATAGAATATTTTCTACAACATATACTTGATTTATTTGATTTATTTGATTGATTTATTTCCTTTTTTTTATTAATAAATAAAAGTTCTTTACAACAAAAAAGTTTAACAAACATATTTAAAAAAAAATCATTACTAAATTTGGCCGTGAGATTCAAAATATTGTAACACGAAAATTATTGTTCCATAACTTTCAAGTTTTTAAACGAAAACGTGACAGTGAGCTTCGTGTCTTTTACTCACACAAACGACATCACTCAGGTCAAGACAATAGTCTATTTTATTAATCAAAAAAATACAAATAGGACGGCCGTCCCCACATTTTTTTTTTCGTTTTTCTCGTAGAGAAATTCCTCTCAGGCCATTTCAGCGCACGGAACTCAACTTTCTACGACGTCTCTGTCCATCTTCAAGCAATCAAGTTTACAGATGGTGATCACATTCAAACCATGAAAACATTTATCATTATACAACGTTATACAAGATGGTCGAAAAATAAAAAAACCACTGCGCCGAGTGTTTCATAGCATTACAATAATAAAAATACACGATTCAATTGATTCAATCATTTACATGTAACAGAAGAGACCGTTCTGGTAACAAAAAATTTAACCTACGCAATTGTTGATCGACCAATCAAAAATCGTGAATTTGATAACGTAAAAATATAAAACATTGATTCATTTTGTCAACAATCACTTCACCAACAGTTGTTTCGTTAACAAATGGTTCGAATTTAAGAAGTTGGAAGTAACCATTTGAAATAGTCTAATAAATTAAATCGTACTACTCGAAAATGTATTTAAAGGGTTGGTTTTCGATATAATCAAAATAACCTTAATACAACGAAATCAAAATGATTGTAAACGCGACCAATTTAAGATACACGATCAAGAGAAAACATGAACAATGTATGAAAAAATCAAACAAATTTATTTAATAAAATAAAATTTACAACTCAAAAAAATTTTTTTTTGCATTTAACAAAATTCCATTATTAACTAATTATATATATCTTGTCCGATCAAATTCGCCTATTACTATATAGTTATTGAATAATTGATAATAATAAAACGTTAATTAAATATATTTTACAAACAGCTTCGTAGACCTCGACTTTGAGACTTATTTTGATCAAACCCGCCTATAATAATAAACGTTCATTTTGGAAACCTGATTTGCAAATAGATCTTGACTTTAACACTTACTTCTACCAAGCCCGCTTATATAATTATTTGAATAATTGATAAAGCACTCATTAAATATATTTTACAATCAGATTCATAGATCTTGACCTTTAACGCTTATTTCGATACAAGCTATTCAATAATTGATAAACGTTCATCAGTATATTTTATAAATTTGCTTTGGAAGTTTCGTATGTCGTCGTCATACGTCTTGTGTTTAACAGTTTACTTTATCTGTTTAATTTTATTTTTTTTTAGATTACACAATAAAAATTATGGAATAAATTTAATCCAATTAAATGGTTGTTATCCCATAAAAGAATAAATTTCAATTGTTAAAAAAATCAACTAAGCTTTTTTTTTCTTAATTAAAAGAAAAAAAGATCCTTCTCAAAGAAGAACCCTCATGTGAATCAAAAGCCATTTGCGAATTTTGATTGTTAAAATCTTTCGTCCTGATCTTTTCCTCGTGTTTTTTTTTCGTTTATCGCTATAGAAGAATAAGCTTCATGCAAACATCAAAAGTCATTTACAAATTTCGATTGTTTTAAAAAAAACCAACTAAGCTTTTTTTTCTTATCAATCGACGTATTTTATTTTATTTTTTCCCCCGAAAGGAAATTTTTTCATTAATCAACCATTTTATTGTTTTCTCCAAAAGGAAATCAGATCATCCACTATCCTTCAAATGGTCAAAATTAAAGTATTTTTCTTATCCAGATCACCCACTATTATTACTATCTCTCTCAAATGGTCAAAATCCAAAAAAAAAAAATTTAATTCAACACGAACAATCAAAAAAAATTTGCACATATTGTTTTGTTTATCGATCTTTTTTTTTAAAAAAAATTGGCAACGAAATAAACCGTTTTTGAACCCGGTCTCGTGACCAGAAAATATTAGTCGCGGGACATTGCAGATCAAGTGTCATTCAATATAAACGTTACACGAATAAAATTATTATTGTCCACTTCAAAAAAAAAATTCTCCATTTTTCATGTAGTAAATGATTTTCAACCATAATAAAATTTTTAGAGCCAGACTGGAACTTTTAACGACAGTTAAAAGAAAAGGCTAGCTTAAATATTGGTTATTCTATGCTAGGTTGGAAGTGTTTCTTTTCTTCACACTTATTTTAAGATTATCACTCAACTAGTATGCAGACTAAAGCAAATTCAGCAGCAACAGTTGTGCCAAAATGTTCCCTACAAAAATACGAAGAATTGGAGAAATAAAAATTAATAATAAAGAAATTTATTTATTAATGATAGACCTTTGGCATAGCACATCAAGCAAGGTTTGAATATTTCAGAACAAAGCTCTAAAGGGTTGTGGTGGTTGTGGTGGTAATGATGGTAGTGGCAGTGATAGTAGTGGTGGTAGTAGTGGTGGTAATGATGGTGGTAGTGGCAATAATCATAATGCCATGGATACAAGTTGATAATAAAAAAAATAAAATTATTATTATCATCATCATTATAACTTGCACAATATAAATATATTTTGTTAATATTTAACTTATTCCAAATGATCTGATAATTAAATCCATTAAATTGAATAATAATATACCAAATACAAATAATTTTCTATTTTCTAAAAATAAATAATTAATAATAAAAAAAAAGATCACGTAATGGATTGTACACTGGCAGATTGTCAGATTGTTCAACCTTTGCAACCTTTGGAAAAAGAAATAAATATATTAATATAATCACACATACCTTTTAATAATAGCAGTAACATCAGTGCTTGTAATCTTGAAATAATTGTCATCTTCTGGTCAATTGATATGATTTTAACTAAAAATTTTAC